ATACTTGTTTGGTTTGAAAACTGCAGAGTACCTATCCATATCTTATCAACTCCTCCACAGGTTTTAAAATGGCAGTTTTTTTGCCGCTTTTGTTTAAGAAAGTAAACGAGGGCTTCCGCCGACGGTTTCACAGACTCACGTCGTCCACTTACGTCGATGATGTCTCTGCGCGTCCACCTTCGTTTTCGAATATGCCACTCGTAAATGTATTTATGAAAAAACTCTATTTTTTACAACCACAATGACACTGAGATATTTGCAAAACTTCGGACCGCAGGTGTTTGTGGTAGGGAACGAACGCTCTACTAGTCTTTCAGGGAACTAACGCGTTCGCTACCACATCATGTGGGTCCTTCGTTTCGCCTGTCTCTCAGCCTCTCTATTCTTTGCGTTATCTCTGGATGTCTAAGCATCTTTTATGCTTCAATGAGATTGATTTTAATTAAGACATAGAGCAACTGAGCACTGAGCGAGCTACTAGTTAGTACTGTTGTCCCACTAATGTTAATTTCATATTGCTACTCATTCGGTGGCCATTATTTCAAAATCCTAAGATCCTTCGAAAGGTGAAAACTTTTGGAAAAATTCTTAATGAAGTGTTTTTAGTAAATTCGTAGTGCTCCGAGCGTTTCCGTTTACTATGCAACAGCTGGATGTTGTTCGCGAATTGCATGACAATATGCACAAGTATGATGTGAGTTTCTCATAGAGCTCTGGTCTAAATAGGAACAAATAGATAAAAATAATCACAATGATGCTAATATATTTGCAAAACTCCGGGCCGCAGGTGTTTGTGACGGGGAACGAACACATTATTACCCTTTCCAGAGGCAAACGCGTTCACTACCACACCATGCGGGTCCTTCGTTTCGCCTGTCTCTCAGCTAAATAAAAATAGTATAATGATGAAAAAATTGTGAAACAAAATAAGTAAAAAATAGTATCAATGCATAGATAAAAGTTTATTTTTAGAAGGATACAGAGGCGACGTTTAAAATAGCGACTTTCCTATGGTTGAGTTCACTCACTCATTGTTGAGCCCTATAGAGGGCTTATCATTCACCACCCCGGCATGTAGATGAATGAAGCACGAAGACTTGTTATACAGTAAATACATATGAAGTGTAAGTCACCTAAGTGAAATGAAATTCACCTAGTGAGCTTTTCTGAAATCTATTGCTCATTTTTAACCGTTTTATTTACTGCCTACTCTTTTTGATGGCAGGGTACATTGCGAAATATAACTTCAATGATGCTGAGATATTTGCAAAACTGCGGACCGCAGGTGTATGCGGTGGGGAACGAACGCGCTATCGTCCTTTCCGGGGAGTAACGCGTTCACCAAATAGCTGAGAGAAAGGCGAAACAAAGGATCTGCATGGTGTGGTGGTGAACGCGTTACTCCCCGGAAAGGACAATAGCGCGTTCGTTCCCCACCGCATATATCTGCAGTCCGGAATTTTGCAAATATCTCAGCATCATTGAAGTTATTGCTCATTTATTAAGTGTTTGTAAATGATTTTTATATACTTTGTAATAACTTGCAATGATCAAGGTGTAGTGCAATGATCCGTTTGCCTGCGAATGACTCTTCCTACTTTCTCAGGTAAAACAAACAGTTAATCCCTAACCATTTAAACCCTATCTGAAGTGGTTGTCTTTCAACGGCTGTTTTCATGGCAACATAGGGCCGAATTCAAGGTTCGGCGACTAGCCTATTTTCTACACGGAACACCAACGCGCCGGCGAACATCACTAAGATTGGTCGACATAACAAAGCTTACCGCTTGTTCTATCAGTTGCATCTCTGTTTGAATAACTGGAATATTATGTTCTTTCTTGATGTATATCGAAAATCTCGTGCATTCTTAGATGGCAATGGTTCCGTCACTATTCCAGAGCTCACTCTATGATAATCACGGCCTGAGGTCTTGGAAGCTAAATCAGCTGTGGATTATACGAATGGGTTTTCTGAGAAGGTATAATATCGTATTCAAAACCGGCTCCACTTCCGACAGGTGTTCTTCGTTATTACGGGAAGCATCTGTAAATGTTCTGTAAGACAAGCATGTCACTAGTAGACGAACGAGTTTTGAACCGGCTTCACTCGTTTATATGTGCTATGAGGTTGCCGCCCTCAACGACGTTTTTAAGCTTGCAGTAATCGTAATTCCTCAGTTCTTTGTACACGCAATTTCATGAGTGGTGAGCAGCAGGTGAATGAAAACACTCGCCATTGTAACCTTAGTTGCAGCGCTATCGCACCAACAGGGATAAGATTGTCGAGAGTTTTACAACCCTACGGTTTCTCGTCAAACATATAAAAGACACTTCTCGGAAAACCAGACAGGGTCAGCCGATTTACCAGGACAGTTTGATGATTTCTATCCACATTGCACGCTGTTCCTTCGACTGTTATCCACTGAAAACTCCTGTTTCGAAAGCCTTCTTTTAAAATTTCTCCCTCTTTTGATGAGTTGATCTCAACTAGATGGTATCACGAGAACGCTCGACTAAAATCGTTGCAGTTCTGAAGAAAGAGCAGACGCTGAAACTTCAGCCGCAGTAAAAATTTGTGCAGCTAGCTCATGTACGTTTAATAATAAAGTAGTACTTTGTAGAACCTTCTTTTTTTGTTTAGTTCTTCCCATGTCTTTTCTGTTGCAAGTGTGTTTGTAGTACTAGCGCATGGTATGTGACAGGGTGAATTTGAAGAAAAAGCTTTTTTCTCGTCATGTTTGATCTGATATGATAAATAAAATCAAATAGCAAGAGATTTGAACTCATCAAACTTCAAAGAAGTAGTAACAAAAAATAGGAATAAAGCTCTTGGCGTTGATCAATCCCTGAGGGATGCACCATGCATTCTACTTCATTAAGCATCGTTTGGAGGTGAATGAATGCATATCTGGCCTTTACAATGACTCGCGGTGGTCTACCGGTATATGGAGCCAATGCGGCTATCTTCCCAGACAGGTATGGTAACGATTTGCCGACGCCAGAGGGATAGAAGGTTTGGTGAGCTATGCGCTTGAGGATCGATTCCACGGGTGTGTTGCAGGGCGCCTCTGACAACTGCGCCGCATACTCCCCTCAAAGAAGTAGTATAGTATGGATATTCATGAAATGATAGAAAGAAGTCAATATGAAATTCACTACATCAGCGGCGACATCTTCCGTGGCGATCATAGTGTATGGACTTCTGGTGGGTGCTACATGTATTTCTTCGGCAAACACGGGCCAAATCGTCTCGAAGTCACGTTATTGTTGCAATTCTTTCGAATTCTGCGCAAATGATAGAATTTCAGTAGACGAAAGACTAAAGAATGTTCGCAATCTCTACTTTTCGAGCTGATAATTTAAGCTATCTATCGAAATTTCTTGATTCCATTAGTCACTGGAATAGCATTAGAACAAGGAGTCGAAACGACATGTGAAATAAATTGGCGCTGCAGTGCTGCTTTTAGTATACAGCCAGTTTAGCTTTTCCCTCAAATGCATTACAGGGAATAGAGCGAAACTGAAATCATCTTACGATCAAAATGGGTTTGTGTTTTGGAGTGCTCCATATTCCGGATTTCATACTATAGCACTATCTCATGTCATTATTGGAAAAACCTTCAAATTATTTCATTTAGGAGTAGTAGTGAACGTTTTTAATGTACAGAAACGTTCCTGCCTAATCCATCAGGATTTTTAACCAATCCTACGGTGAATTTCCAGTTATATTTTTTGTTTCTGTATTAAGCCCTGCAGGATACGTGCAGCGCAGTGGTTAGAAGTGCCATGCAATAAACATGGGGTCATTGGTTCGATCACACGCCCAGAGCCCACCAAGCTTTCTATCAGTATGGGGTCGGCAAATTGATACTAGTTTTGTCTGGGAGGATAGCAGCACTGATTTAAAATAGCAGTAAGACACCTCATGCTATTGTATAAACCAGATATGCATTCAGTCACCTCAAACGATACTTAATGAAGTCGAATGCATGACGCATACCTCAGGGATTGAGCTACGCCGAAAGCTTCAACCTCTTAATTAAGCCTAGTGAGAAGTGGTGCGACCTTCAGTGATGTTCTTCTAGCAAAAATGTTTGGAACTGCAATGTAGAGAACTCCGAAGTTTCGTCTAGTAATTTGTGTAAATCCAAGGAAGTGGAAATATTCTTCGGAACTCGGTGACTTGCAATTGTTGGACGTATCATATTTTGAGCTGAAAATGTTCAGAAATCTAGACTAACTGCAATTTCTCGTCAAAGCTTTTGTTTCCTTGTTAGCTTTTTCATACTTACTTACTTGAATACTTGGATGGTCCGTTCTCACTAGTTGTGCGGGCCCCAGCACAATCTCCATCGCGAAGTTTTGCTGGTTCAGCCATTGTGGTTCCCTGGAGTCCCAAGGTTAGCCAGGCCAAAGTCTGACCCAGGTCGTTACCACAACTGGCAGTCGTCGACCTTGGGAATCAGAGGGAGATTTGCCACCATGCGACGAGCTCGATACCAGGACGGTAACAACTGCTGATATTGATTTACTCTCAGTTGGACTTCCTAATGGAAACACCGCACTCCATCTCAGCTTGGGAGACCCTACTGGGGAATTAATCTACCTGCTGTACATCGCAGCCCGACACCCAGGAACACTTCCCAGCCAGGATGAGGCGGTAAACCGTTGGGAGGAGCTTTTTTATAACATTTTCCATTTCCAAAATGAAGTTCCATGCCAAAAGTTAGACGAAAAACAGTAAGAAAAGCTGATCTAATTATGGGTACCAAATCGGTTAGTAATGTGACGACATCGATTGCCAATGAATCTTCAAATTTTACACCTGATTCTTCGAATATTTCGTTAGATAATAAGTAGGAATGCATGTAGCGACTTGCTGTGATTCTACGAGAACTCTTATAAACGACCTGATGGTTTTTTTTATCGTAAACTTTGTCCTCTGATTGCAGCTAGACTTTTGGCTCACACCAGTATCGCCGGGCCATAAAGCCGATATAATGGTCAGGCATGAGCGATTGAAATGGTTGCAGAGTGTGCTCATCAATCACAGCATACCACATAACATAACTATACAGGACGTTCAGCAGTAAGTTTTCCAGTTCGCCTGAGCACTTATTTAAGCAAATGTAAATTTTGAGGTGCTACAAATATTCGTTTTCTTTTTTCCTACTTGCTGTCCTCTATTTTTTTCACGGCGTGATATTACTTGAAATATAACCACGATGACTTCATGCGATTTCGATTACAGCCTCAGCTTAACCGTGTTCATTGCCGTTTTGCGTTCCCCAGATCATTCGTGTTGACGGGTGATTGTGATGCCACTGTTAGGATAAAAAACTGACCAAGAAAACGTAAAGCGAGGGTCTTATGGTACAGTAGGTAAAAGGTGAACTCCCGGAAAGGCTAATCACTAGTTTGAATCTTGTTTGGGTTCTGGGTTTCGCAAATATCTCAGCATTATTGCATTTGTTTTCTTTTGAGCCCGTTCCTGTCTCACTTTTTTGTACAGGTAAATTGAGTTGCAGATCAACTTGACCGACGTTTTTTAAAGCAGTTATAAGAGTCGTTAAGAGTCGTATCCAATAACGACAAAAAGTCATTTGTCTACGTCGCGAGAGACAAAACCACGTAGGATTAGTCTAGAGCACCTAAGGAAGCCATCACCGTCTTTCGTCAACACCTTGGTTTGGATTTTTATGTCATCAGAATGTGGAAACCCAATCCAAGCCAACGAGAAACCGTTAGGGATGATGCTCAAAAAGAAGGATCTGTAAGAGATTGATAACTATGACTCAGTCCTGTTGCTGTGTGCTATCTACATGCTCTGTACTCGAGTAACCCCGAAAAGGACTAATAGAATACTAGGCTAAAAGTATTCACTGAGATATATCATATCAAGGTAACAAAGAATCTCTTAGGAAGTCATGGCGAGAGTGCACGACCACCTTCTCTCGAACCAAGACGTTGTTGTTTAACAATTGAGGTTTCTGCCTCAATTTTCACTACTCGACAATAAAATTATAACTGGCATAAAGGAAAGATACCGTCGTGATACCGAAAGAGGATACCGTCGAGACGTTAGCCGAAAATAAAGAATGTTATCAACTTCCTGTAAGGTTATGAAAGAAAGAATACGTATTTACTAGTCATACCAAGGTTGAAGGAAAGTCGGTTTCGAAATATCATGCTTTATACCAGCTGATAATGATGCCGGCTTCTGCAGGGTAGATTGTAAGGAGAAATAAGTCGTTATCACCAGACAATCACTGTTGTCAATATCCACCGTCCTGTATGAAAGGGCATCTCTGACTGAGTATGGCTCATTCGAGATAGATGCTGCACTGATGATTGCCGGGTTCGATGTGCGACGAAGACGCCACCTCGAGAACACGAACAACTGTGGACCATCGACATAGATCATCGGTTCTGATGAAGAAGATACCATTGAAACGTTAGCCGAAAATAAGGAATGTTATCAACTTCGTGTAAGCTCATCAAAGAAAAAATATATAATGGAAATGGTTTGCAAAGGTGAGACAATCCTCCCAAAATCGTCTACAGTCGCTCTGAAGAACGTTATAAGAAAACTGAAGTAGAATATCATGATAACCTCCACTTTCAGGAGACATTGTTCCAGGAACACAAAGCTTAAGGCTGATGGAGCGAGAGTCGCCTTTAGCAACACTTGTCAAAAAATTAGTCCTTCTTCAATTCCTCGCCAAACGACATTGACGAGAAGCGGACTTCTTTTTCATCCTCCATGCACACTAGGAGGAATGAGTGTCGTGGAATATTCAATACACGTGTATCTGTCCGAATCCAAAAATTAGGATGGTGGACAGAACGAAACGAGAGAATTCGACGGCTTCCAGGCACATGTAGCAGCGTGTACTGAAAAGAGTAGGGACCATGTGGTTCCGTGTACATCCTTGAGGTGGCGAAATATTGTAACACATTTGTTTTTTTGAATATGACTTTTATTCTTAACTGGAATTTCACACTGCAAAGCTGGCAGTTCCTTATTTAGAGTCGATCTTGATTTCGATATAGCATTTTTTTAAAGGCTGATTTTGGATCGAGAGCACAAACCTAGGCGGGTGTTTACGAACTTCTCGAGACGACTCCACGACGAAGGAGGGAATCGAGCACAGGTGCGTTGATTCATCCTCCCACTTACTCCATTAGTTGTGTTTCTTCTTCTGTTCCTGTTGCTTGATTGATAAGCGCAACTTAATGGGGAAGGCTGAAGTTGGTGATGATAATGATCCGTCCTACTTTTGATGTTCAAGAACCCCGACATTCTTCAATTGCAGAACAGACTTTATCCATGCTTTATGAGGTTTTATGCTATTTGCTAGTTTGTCTTAAATATATCTTGCTTTTAGTTTATGCTGCCTATATTTAAGTAGTACTTGGTGAATATTTGGATGATGATAATAATAACAATAATAACAGGGATCGGATAGCACAGTGATAGTGATGTACGTCATCACAAGTATGGTGCTAGTTCTATTCCGCTCAGGGCTAACCAATCCTCTCCGGGGTCGGGGAATTGGTGCCGGACTTCCCTGGGAATACATTACTCTCTACAATCAAATTGGGAACGCTCCAGCCCGGCTATCTTAGGAATCGAGGGAGAATTGCTCGACCAGCATTCTACGACATTCAAGATGGAATGAAAATACCCAGGCAGCCACCAAAGCCACACGTATAAGTTGTTGGAAGATCTTCGTGGACAATGGATGTGAATAAACGAATCGAATACGAGTAGTGCTGGGACCTTCACAGTGAACGTGAAGACGGGTCATATAGAAATAAAAATGATAATATCAAACTCCATCTGAAATTGTATTACCTCAATCAAGCTAAAACGCATTTTGAGGAAAATTCTTTAATCAATTGATAGCACCTTGAGGAGAGTTCTTCAGTGGCTTGCTACTCATCTTTCTAAAATCTTTTTGGATTCTTATTACTTAGTAAATTATGCTTGAGCTGGAGATAAACTAACAGCAGAGGCGCATTTCTAATCAACTTAGTGGTTACTTGATAGAGGACATTCAGTGTTCGGTCGGTTACTCTTAACTGAAGCCAACCTTAGACCTATCAATATACTGGACTGAAGTGCTATGTTAGTACGAGTGTCAATTTCAGTACGAGCTAGGTGAATACCACTCGTACGACCACATTGTCTCATGGTTGGAGGAGATTCAACGTTTCTATCCTGAAAAAGCGCGCGTGATCAACATTGGTACAACTGAAGAAGGTCGAAGTATCAAAGGAATAAAGGTTCGTCGTGCCGTTAACAGATATAAGGTAGTTTTTCAGTTCCAATTAATCACAGTTAGCGGTGCTGCTTACCGAACATATCCGTATTGGTCTCAGAGCGAAGCCACCTTTTCCGTAAGAAAACTGGATCGAGACGGGATTCGAGCCGTTTCCTCTCTAACTAAACTATTGCTTCACGTGCTCCCACAGATTGGTCTCTCTCGTCAAATCTTTTTCATAAGAAAGAAACCCTGATCTTAGCTGACTTGCTCATTTACAGGAGGGTCTTGTCTTTGATGATAAGTTATTATCGCGTTGTCGTTTCTTTGTAATATATTAAACCAACAAACTTTAGATCGGAACTGATGTACACCGGACGGACAAACGGGTGGTCTGGATTGACGGAGGCATCCATGCACGAGAATGGGCTGCTGTGCACACCGTTATCTACATCATTGATAGGGTGAGAAACTGCAAAATCATGCTTTCATTTAGAGTGCGAGATAATTAGGGAATGGTACAAAGGAAATAGGAATTTCCACTTCTAATAACTCTTAACGGCAAGTTGAAAGTGGTTGTAGGTTAAAGATCTGAGAACAGAGAACTGCGTGAATTCTCTTCTCATTTCTGTTAATGACACAATCCTATTTATAGTGATTAACCCATTAGTTAACACCTTTGTTTTGTCTTCTTTTTTTAGCCTTCAGTATTTCAGCTGATTGCCGATTATGAGACCGATCCTCTAGTGCGTCGAGCTGTGGAGCAGCTTAATTTCTATCTTTTCCCAGTGCTGAATCCTGACGGTTACGAGTACTCACGTAGTGGAATCACACCAGTGGTCGGGTTTGGTTGACTTTTTTCTAACCTTGGTCCGGTTCCTGTTCTGATTATCGTTTTGCATTTACGGAATTCAGAAAAATTTTGGGATATTTTTGGACTCGCCTGAACTATTCGGTAGACTTGATGACTCAGAATATTCTCAAGAGTATTAATGGTGTCGATATTCCCATGATGTTTTCGCGGTGATGTTTTCGATTCGTGCGTGAGGATAGTGACCCCTACTTCAAAACCGTTGTGTGTTCCTGCATCCTATGCGCGCCTAGTGGAGTGTTTGGTTTTAATTTAGATTTACCGACTAGGTGTTCTTTTATGCAGATGCAGAGCGGTCTACCCGTTTCGCCAACGTATTCGTCCCCGCACGCCTTACAGGAAATTAGATAGGCTGTACCCAAGCTCATGCAATCACCGCCTCTAGACCATGTCATCACACGTTACCTGGCGCCATACCTCAGACTAATCTAAACCTGGCACAGGCACAGTCCTCGCCTATGTATTACTCTGTGCGGCTGCTAACCATCAACTAACTTAAATACTTAAAACAAATAAACGGTAGGTGTTTAAATGAAACTGTTTCTTATGCGAATGCAAATTTATTTGTTAAGTTTTATCTGCTGGGGTTATGAAAGTGTTTGGCTGGGTAGATCACATCTCAATTTGACCTTTCCAGGCTCTGAAGAAGGCGAAACCGCCAAAATGTCAGCTATTGTATCCTAATAAATTCTATAATAACAATCTGGTGTTGATATTTTTGTACAGAAATTTTAATAAACAGATTCGACTGTGGAGAAAAAATCGTTCATCGATGCTATGCAAAAAGGACTACTGGTTTCGTGAGCGATGTTGTGGCGGAGTGGATCTGAATAGAAATTTTGACTGGTTTTGGGGAGGTTTGTGAACATTCCAGGCTGATGAATAAACTCCGTTATCTTAAATGACTTTAGTCACAATGACGCTGAAATATGAGCATTACTCGGAACTTCAGTAAAGCTTCGAACCCGTGATTACCTTTATTGGTTGCTTACGTGCTATCCACCACACCAATCGGCTCCCCTGCTTTGCCTTTCTATTACCCATTTTTTTTTTACTTTATCAGTGCAATCACTCATCAATCGGAAACGGTGATCCCGAGTTTGAGGCACAGCTGAGGTTCTAAGATTTGCTCGTATTTCACCATCCTCCTCGTTGTGGTTCACATTGTACCTTTCCTTGAAAAGAGAATAGGCAGTAAAGAAGCGTTAGGACAATTAACAACACTTTGTCATTGAAGACATGAGGTTGCTACAAAAAGTTGTAAAAGAAGTAACTGCGTTTATATGTTGGAAAAAAAACCATCTGGTTTCTAGATCTTCGTGAAGACGTTGGTATCTTTAATTTATTTGAGAACTAAATGTTGCTGAGCGTCAGAGAACTGGTAACAAAGAAGAGCAGGAGGACATTTCGTACCTGTTTAGAATGGCTTGGTGCAAAATCACAGCTGTAGCGATATTCAGCGCAATAATTGAGCAAGCATGATTACAACCAAGTCCAGAACCCATAAAAATCTACTATGGTCTCTGTTTGTTACTGGTTCGGCGAGAATGTACTGAATTAAGAACGTACGTCCTCGTCGGAGTTCTGGGATTTTGGGCTTGCTTTGACAGCTTCGATATTTCAGAGATTGGGTCAAGCTCCGATCGATGTTCTGAGATTTACCACGGAAAAGCAGTTTTCAGCGAGGCTGAAAGCAGGTGAGTGAAACTATATGTGCTACTTTCAGAAATCTTTATTAAAAGGATAAAAAGGATAAAGTTCTCGGCGTTCATCAATCCCTAAGGAATGGGCCATGCATTCGACGTCGTTAAGCATCGTTTAGAGGTGATCGAATGCATATCTGGCCTTAACAATGACTCGTGGTGATCTACCGATGTATCGAATCAGTGCTGTTATCCTTCCAAACAAGTCTGGTACCAATTTGCCGACTCCGGAGGGATGTAAGGCTTGGTGGGCCATGGGCGCGGGGATCGATTCCACGTGTGTGTTGCACACCGCCTCCGATCACCAAGTCCTTATTACATTTTATAATCTGTAATAAAAGTTGCTCGTATGATTAAGCATCTCTGTGTTTGGAATACTTTATAACCCAGTTGTTTACCATGAAATAAATTATAAAAGCTGAAACGCCATGATTTACAGGATATAATTTGCAAGGTTCATTTCAACTGCTTTCGTCCGCGCTATAGTTCAAGTCTAACACATAACGCCCAAAAATGCATGTGTGCGTATAAGCGCTGTGGTTGGAAGGCAAAGTAAACGATGTGCATTGTTTAACGTTTTGTTTTCTGCCTTCTATAATTTTCATGGCAGGTTACTAAGCGAAATAACAAAGGACCCGCTTGGTGTGGTGGTGAACGCGTTACTCCCCGGAAAGGACAATAGCGCGTTCGTTCCCCACCATAGACACCTGCGGTCCAGAGTTTTGCAAATATCTCAGCAACGTTGTGGATGTGCATTGTATCCAACGCATTTTTTTCGGTGGTTTACTTGAGCACACAGAATTTTTTCACTGGAATTTCCATAATCTGTCGATAGGGCGCGTGTGGCGCAATGGTCGGAGGCGCCCTGCAGCACACACATGGAGCCGATTCCCGCGCCTCAGGTTCGCTAAGCCCCTAATTCCTTGAGGGTCGGCAAATTGGTACCAGATTTCTCTGGGAAGATAGCAGCACTAGTTTGCTACATCAGTAGGCTACCGCGTGGCATTGTAAAGGCCCGATATGCATTCGGTCACCTTCAACGTGCTTTGATCAACCCCGAGAGCTTTATCCTTTTATCCTTTTATCAATGGTTCGTGCGAGATAAACACTGTAACAGTCGTGGTGTGTGGGAAGCTGACTTCTAATCTTGAAAATATACGGGAAACCTTTTTTCGGACGAATCCACTGACTAATAGTTTTAGTGGTAGTTCGCTCTTATTTCAATTTATTCGCTTCTATGAATCAATGGAGAAGTGTAAAAAGTGCCATCACAGAAGGCTTCCAAATGCTGACAGCAATGTGGTTGTATGATAGACCATAGTAACATATAGCAAATAGCAACATAGTACGTCTATAATGAGAACAAGGTTTATTCTATAATTTTGTCATTTACTTAACGCTTCAAGTCCTCCAAATAAGGGAGAATTTTCGTCCATTCTCCAAAAATCAGTAGTCAAACTAGGCGTCGTCCTACCTAACAGTCACGTAAATTTAAGCGTTGGGCGTGATTTCGTTATTACCATAGTTCTGTTGCGTCGTTTCCCTTAAGGATAGTTATACAACAAATTGTCCATTTATTTCATGCAGAGAAGATCTTGCTACATTCAGAGCTGTGCGAGATGCGATGTTATCCGCAGAGCTGCGCGGTAAGGTGGACGCGTTCCTCACGCTGCACACCTACTCGCAGGTGAGCGCCGACGTTTCCGTCGCCCCTCCGCATGCCGGACGAGCGACCGCACACCATTTTTGCACTGGCTTCTTCCAATGAGCGCATGATTTCAGATGTGGATTCACCCCTTCAGTCATCAGCGGAAAACCGTGCCCGAGGATATCTCGGACATTGTGGGTGCCATCGTGTTTTCTTTAAGTTCTTTCGATTTCACCCCAGCCACTCTTTATCCTCGCTGTTGTCCTACAACGTGGGAAAAACATGATGCGCCTTCATTATTTCATTCTAGGCTTCTATGTTTTCAACAACCTGCAACTTCACCAAAAATTTGTCGTTTTCAAAATTTTAGCCGACGGTCTTTTGTAATTTTATCCTATTCATAAAACAACGAAAGAAGAAAAATCAACCTTTGAAAAGAGGGTCACAAAGTAGGCGACGAAACTAAAAGAACCAGGGTTCGATGCAATTTTTAAAAAACGCGGGACCAAAGAATGAAAGAGGTAAATAATCGATTGTCGTAAATCTCTACTTTTACTGCTCTAGCTTTTATCGACCTAGAATTAAAAAATGCAACGGCTTTTATATGAGATATCTGCTCAAACTGCTTAAAACATTGGAGGAACGACCCATTCCTACCAAGGGTGTTAAAAATAAGGGAAAAGCTCATAAGGTGCGCCAGAAATTGCTGCTCATTACCGACTTTATTTACCTAAGCTCCAATCTTCTCTGAATTTCTATCCTAAAATATCCAAATTTCATCGATCTCTAGAGGAAACCAAGGCTACCAATAAGTTCATTCTAGGAGCGAGTGGGTAGAAAAGCCCTTAGCGCACTCGAGAGCCTTTATGGCACGAAGTACCGATTTGGGACAGGAGCGGATATTTTGTGTAAGTCTTACTTTTATGGTCAACTCGTCCCATGAAACTAAAAATCGATATACTTTTCTTCATAGCTTCTTTGTTTCATATTTCCCGTTTTTCCTAGTTGAAATGGTCATTCATAAGCCTAAATTCTTTTTATGAAACATAAAACATCCGATTTATTTGATCCTTAAGCACATGTTTGTCCATGTATATGTGTTTTTTCGTGTTCGGCAGCAGAAACAAGCAGCTTTGTTTAGACCCGTCATCTGGTGGCTCTGACGACTGGGCGAAAGGAAAACTAGGTGCTAAATATGTTTATCTGATGGAACTACGTCCAGGAGAAGAAGGTCAGCAAAAGAGTATTGTGTTTTCTTCGTAGGACTGATAGCGAAACATTATTTAACCCTAACTTTAAGTCCTAAATTAAAATTACCATGAACACGTGGCATTACTGCGTTAAGGTGTTACATCGTAATGTCGTTGATTTAAAAGAGTCCAGTCTTATGCACTTTATCTTTGTCGATAAAAGCGTATAAAACGGCCGGTGTCGATCAATTCCTTAGGGATGTCCTCTGCATTCCGCTAAACTAAGCATCGTCACACAAGTTACACAATGGTCAACGGGAGAATAAGCAATATTATATAAAATGAATAGAGAAAATTCCAACAGTACAGGATCAAATATATTCGTTCTTACGAACTGTCCTTGTTGAACTGATGCCAGGTTGGTATAAGTTGTCCTTGTTGTTGTTGCGGTGTTGAACAATAGCCTTACAACCACAACGATGCTGAGATTTTTGCAGACCGCAGACATCTACGGTGGAGAACGAGCGAGTTATTATCCTTTCAAGTGCTAACGAGTTCACCACCACACCATGCGGGTCCTTCGCTTCGCCTGTCTCTCAGCTAGTTCTATCGATCAGCGCAATCACAAGTCAGGGGGATTGATCTGGGGAGTCTACACTGGCATTGAAACCAGTTAAGCTGAGGCTGTAGTTAAAATCAGAATGTTTATTCTTCGTATTTTTGTTGAGCAAACGCGAGGTGTTATTGTTCTTTATTCACGAATAAGCTGACGTTTCGGCGGATTTCGCCTTCTTCAGAGCTTGGAAAGGTCAAGTTGACAGCAATCCACTGGGCCAGACCCCTCTATAACCAAACAAAGAAGCTCTAAACCAAGATTTCAATCACATTGAACACAGCTTTGCACACTCACCGCTTTCTATGAGGT